GCTGGAAGCGGGTGGAGACAGTCTGGTGGAGGCGGGTGGAGACAGCGTGGTGGAGGCGGGTGGAGTCAGCCTGGTGGAGGCGGGTGGAGACAGCGTGGTGGAGGCGGGTGGAGACAGCCTTGTGGAGGCGGGTGGAGGCTCTACAGGAGCGAGACGGCCTCCAGGTTCTCTTTGATGATGGTGTCCATGACGACCTGGAAGACGACCTGGACGTTGGAGGTGTCGGTTGCCGTGGTGAAGTGGTGGTACACCAGCCGTTCGGGCGCCTTGTTGAGCGAAACGAAGGCGCCGGCCAGGAAGCGGGCGGCCGAGTCCACGTCACAGTCGGCGCCTGGGGGGGGGGGAGAGCCGTTACCACGGTAACAACAACCCCGGGGTTTACGGAGAGAAACCCCAAACCAGCAGGAGCTGAACCCCCCCATCCAGAGTCACATTTACCGGATTATTATTCAGACTAAGATCCAGCTTTTTAAACTTCCGATCCGGGCTTATCAGAGCATTTATTAAAGTTTAAAGTTATTTATTCTACTTACTTAGTAATATGTTTGTAGTGTTTTTTTTTTTTTAACTACTTATTAGTAATATAAATTCTTTTTTTCCCACTTTTTTAAAATAAATATTGTGTCTGACAATTCATATAGCTGAGAAATACTTTAAAAAATGTAAAAAAACAAACAAACAATGCATGACGTTCCACAGGTGAAGCGGTCAATAAACGTGACCAAAATAGTTCAACAGTTTAGGAACGTTTCTCATTTCCAAATCAAAAGATTCAGGGAACCAGGACATAAGAAGCCAGACAGTAGTCCCTGTGACCTTTGACCCCTCAGATAGGGACGTCCCGATCCAGCTTTTTTCCCTTCCAATCTGATCCCGGCCTATCAGAGCATGTATTAAAGTTTAAAGTTATTTATCTACTTACTTAGTTGTCAGACTCATGTTGAACAGGGATTTACTCTGATAACAACTTAATGGTTAGGACACAGACCTGTGGGTTACAGATGCTAATGCTAATGCTAATGTGGGATCAGACTTAAAAAAGTCTGGATCTGCATTATCTCCTGCATTTTAGTTTTTTGCAAATATCGGATCGGGACCAGACTACTCAGATCAAACCCACCGTTACAAACTTTTTCTGTAAGTTTACACTGATGCATTCAGGATTTAAGGGGTTTGATTGCACAAAACATCTAAAATCCAAAGTATTTCTTCACTTTGCATCAGATCCTTTGAGTTTTTCTGATCTTAAACTGTTTATATATTAATATAAAAGTCAGATTATCGCACATATGGAAGACCAGGACTGTAAAAATTGAGGAATCTTGTGATAGTTGTGATTGGTTTCTGCTTTATAATCACATTTAGATCATTCGAATGTGGTCACAGTTTGGTAAAAATCCATAAAAGTCAAACTAATGACCAAAAATGACGGAGATGTGGAACCGACTTTTCACCCAAATCACATCCAATCAGGAAAAGATTAAACTGACTCGACTCGGCCTCCGAAAACTGCAACTAATCCTCCAGAGGAGCTCTTTCTTTTCCTCTTGTGGACGCTCACTACTGTGTTTTTTTTGTATTTTCTTTGTATTTTCCTTGCAAAGACAAACAGCTTTTCATTAAGCACGCTGCCGCTCTTCATTTGTCTGGAAACTTTCCAAAAGTTGGCTTTAATAGAGATTAAAACCCATAAATGTGCTCATAATATTCAGGTGTAAATGTCAGATCTGCATAAATCAAGTGACTCTAAGGGCTTTTCTTTACCCAGAAAAACGTCTATCGATGGTATTGTTAGTTAAAAGCTCCACTTTTTTCTTTTGCTTATTTCAGTCTTCTCTGAGTAAATAAACATTTTCCCTTGTCCTGTTTTTTTAAAGGTGTTTCTGGGCTACTTTGGACTTAATGGTCATCAGATAAGTTTAAAGTGGTTAAAAATGGTGGATGACACCTTCTCATTGAACAGTTTGTTTTATTTTTCTCACTATTTATTTTGTAGATTCTCTCTGAAGGCAACAAAAGTATAATGAGAACTTATGGAGTGAATGTAAAATAACTCAAAATTGTCTTCTTACTCATAATCTGTAACAAACTAACTGAGGTTTTGCCTGATAAACGTTTCAATATTTCTGTTTTAGTCCAAAGGTGTAAAGATATCAACCCTTTTCATTGGAAATTTGTGAAAACACTCCTAGACTTTGAACTCGACAAAATAAAAACAGCTGGAAAACTAAACTGAAAAACGTTCTTAAAGGGGGATTGTGTCTGGGATAAATGTGTTTAAAGTAGAATATTTGTGCTTGATTTACAAAAAGAAGACAAAATGAGAAGCTAATACATTTGAGTGTGAATTTCCTTATTTTGTTTATGATTTAAAAACTCTGAATATGTTTCTTTCCATCAAAGTTTAAGCAGAGAAGTGAAATTAGACGGTTTAAAATCAGAGTTTCTGCAGAATAAAAGAATAAAGGCTCTAATCGTCCGTCTGACCTGCTGAATGACCCCAATCAAAGCCGGTTAGCGTTTCTTATTCAAATCTGCAAGAGAGCAGAGACACAGAAACTGATATTTGGGAAGATTTGCTCTGAACAGACAGAAAGAAGAAAGAAATCCCAAAACAGAAGCTCGTGTCTGTTTAGGGTTTGAAAGCTGCCAAACCAGTTTTTGTTGGTTTTACCATGATAAAAAAAAACATATTTATGTTCATGTCAGCCATGTTTGATTTTCCAAATCTATCACAGTTAGACTTGATTATTTAGATATAAATAGCCTATTTATTTTTTAACCCATTTTTACTGAGTTTATGTTTATATTTTGGTGGGAAACAGGACTTTGGAGTTCCAGTTGTTTTGGATGGAAAAACTATTTATCTTCTCTTGTCTGTCAGAAGATTATATATTATAGTATATTATATAGTATATATTGTAAGATTATATATAAACTCAAATATATGAAATTAAACTTAGCAGGTCTTTCTATTTCCTGCCTTTTGAGATTCAATAAATAATTTCTGAATTAAAACTAGGTGTCATGAATTTTACAAACCCTTAAATGTGGATAGGAAACAGCCATTATGACATAAACGTGCATCCAGTTTAAAAAGGAGTTCAGAGCTCCATGTCTGAGCTTATATCAACATAATTTATTAGCTAAGATTCATTCTCACAACATCAAGACTTAAGTCAACTAAGCTCCTACCTTTTGTGATTAAATTGCTTTTAAATGATATTTTCTTATTTTTTAAATCCATTTTGTGTGTAAAAAAGCTGAAAATAGAAACATTTAACATCATCTCGTCAAGAAGAAAGTTCAGCTCTATCAGACTTAAATGTGATGATTTAAGGACTGTATTTTGGGTCTAAAATGTTCATCTTAAAATGTTTATTGTGATCAGGATGGACGATGATAAGCCTGAACTCCTGAGCTTCTCTGGAAGCTTTTTTCTCTGATCGTACCTTTGAACTCGGGCAGGTAGAGCCGCAGGTGCCGTCCGCTGTGCAAAATCTTGTCTTGAAAAAGGTCGATCTTGTTCATGAATAAAATCTGCAACAATAAAAACACACGGCCGGTTTAAAGGACAAAAACGAACCACCAACAGCCACATTTACGGCTGCTAACAGAGAATCACACAAAAGGCAAAAATCTGTGTCTGTATTGGTTCTTTCATGGTTTAATTTTCACTTTACGCATAAATGTTTGATCAATTAATCAAACTCTCCGCCTTAAATGGGACTCTGGGTGTTTTCTGACGCAATTAACCCTTTAAAGCCTGATCCTAGAATAAATGAAAACAGAAAATGACTTTTTTTAGGTTTGAATTCCTTATTTGGCCTTTTAACAAAATATGTAAAAAGAAAAAACAGAAATACATTTTTATTATTAATAATTTATTACTATGCGATAAGTCAAGATTATTTTTTGTTTAGTCTTCTGCCCCCTGTTATCAGGTGTATCTGATTGTGTACAATAGGATTTTGAGCAAAGTTTTTACTATTAAATTATGCAAAAGGAGTCAGACGCTAAACATTTCAGAAACCGTATGTATCAAATATGATACATTTGGCATTACAGGGTTAAAAAAACGCAACCCGGTTCTCTCTTTTCCGGCTCGTCTCATCTCAAAACCAAACTCCCAAAGCCCCCCCGGAGTCACCAGGACTGGGGGGGGTTTCCAAAAGGTGTTCCACGTCCAGGTCTTAATTGAGGTGGAGGTTAGAAATGAGCCTCCCACACACAAAAAAAAAAAGAAAAGGTATCATTAAAGACTCCTGTTTAATGAGCCTGTCCCACACACATAAACAGGCCCCACACGTCCACTTTAATTGGCCGTTTGGCTTTAATGAAGCTTTAAATACGATTTTTTATGGCTAAAAAAGACAACTCACGACTCGGAAAGACGCAGACACTTTGGGGAGATTTTTCCTTTAAACTCAAATGTGTGTGACGTTGTTCCCGAGATGCTTTCTGTAATTATTAGACACAACGCTGATATTTGTGCCCCTAAATGGACCCTGTGGTGAACTCAGTCCTTACAAACGGGGCTCGAGGTGAAACGTTTCTGGGAAATAACAGCCGAGTATCCTAAGTGGAATTCACATACAAGTAAAACGAATAAGCTCATTATGTGATTTAATGTGATCATTTGCCGGAAACATGAGTGGAAAAACAAATATAGGAGGAAACGTCACCTCAGAAAGGACCAATCTAATTATAAATGGTTGTTTAATTGTGAGTGGTAGAGGTCTGGGACACAAAGGACTGTGAGTGGAAAAGGCATTTATCAGACACTTCAGGGTTATTCTGGTCCCAATGAGCCTTAAAGAGGAAAAAATAGACCCTGTTTCCTGACCGGTTCTGGTCTGCTTTGGTCCTTTGGGTTAACCTGGTGTTTTTAGGGCGTCCTATAATGTTTGGGGGGCAGAAGAATCCGAGTCATAGACTAAAATTAACCAAACTAAGCGATAAGAAGCTGCTCTTCTTTAGTCTTACTTGAAACCAAATGTGCTTACATGGACCGTTCATGAACATCACATTGTGTGCTACTTTATCATCATAGTATCTGGATGAAACAAGGGGTCATATATCATCAGAATTATGATGTTTCTACTTAGAAATGCCCATTTATCCATGGTATAAGTGTCCTGTTTCAGCCATTTTTTTTTTCAAACATGAATGACTATTCCTATAGGATTTTTTTTTCTTTTAATGGAATCTGACGGAAAACATGGAAATGACACACTGGAGAAGGGCGCCATACTTCCACCTGTTTGGGTCTTTTTTTTAAAAATCCTTTTGTTTTCTATATAATAAACCTTCTTCTCTTTGGTAGCTATAAAACCAAATGGCCACAGAGGCAGAAAATGAAACGAACTGTGAGGCAGCAGGACGCCGCTCTCTGCCTCCTGAGTTTCTCTGAGCAGAACGACAACACGAAGCCTCAAATAGGATCCGAGACACAAACTTTACGACTCCTGACCACCGGCTTTAACCCCGGGGGGCTGAACAGGGTTTGGTATTTATCCGGGACCAAATAATCCAGCTCTCTTTCACACAGACTCAGATACCAACCAGACCAGATCTGACCTGTTTAGGAGTTATTCTGATCTCCTCTGCTCATGTTTTCCTTCTTCATTAAACTCTTTAACTTGGGAAAAGTTAAAGAGTTTAACTTTAACACACACACACACACACACACACAGACATCCGCTCTGTGATCATGTACTCGTTATTCAATTTTGAATATAATTTTTCTGTGTTTTTTATATTGTGGATGAGCTGAAGGACTCTCTGTCCTTTGCTGCTTAAAATGAGTTTTAAACACACACACACACATACGTGTTTTCATATGAGGACGTATTATAGAAATAGAATCCCAGAGTTTCCTATCCATACATTCAGGAAAACATTCATCTGTTGAGATTTTAGCTAGAGCAAAATTTTGATAACATTTGATTTTTATGGGACATATAGGAACATTATCTGGTTTATATAACTTAAACCTTTCACACAGTTATTTCATGTCTAGGTGAATCGTCAGGCCCAGAGAAACACACACACACACACACACACACACACACACACACACACACACACACACACACAAT